TTTATATTCCACCTTTTTTCGAAAGAGAGAGAGAGAGAGAGAGAAAATAAGATTAAGAACTTATTTTCTCTTCATTGCTTTTTACCTTTTAATCTTTAATAAATACCCTAAAAATTTTGACCCGGCACCTTAAAAGCATAATAAACGACATATTTTTTACAGTTAGATATATTTGCATATCGACATTATGCGAAAAGGTATTGCTTTACGAAAGATGTTTCCAGGGCCGGTTTATCGTCCTTATCATATCGACTGAGACAGCAGCAGTACTTTATATCAAAACGGAGATATGCAAATAAACTTTAATCAGAATGTAAAAGTAAGTAAAAAACAAATCAAATATGTTCGTGAGTCAACATCTTTGCAACGTACGTGTAATTCGTACGATTCAATAAGGTTGATAAGAACATTATAACGTATAAATATTTTGGAACTAAGCTATCAATATTACGCTCCTGACAGTTCATGTCTTAACGTCATGTTTATTATATTTTGATACAGTTTATTAGTAACTAATACATATTACTAGTGTATATGCGTACTACCACTATATACATAGATACTACCAGTGATATTTCATGTGTATTGAAAATACTGCACATTGGTTGAATGCAAAAGCAAAATTCGAAATTTCTAATTCAGAAATGAATTTAGTCTCATTTAAACTAAAAGAATAATTACTTTTAGATTGAGGATACGTCCAAAATATTTCCTGTCCCTTTTGTTGTAGATAACAATTGTTAGGGACACCGTAATAGAGGTGAAGCGGCAAACATTTTAGTTTCAAGCGTCTATTTATATTTATATATGTACACATTTTTTGTCATTGTCACTCCCTGGTAAAATGTTCTCTAAATAAACCAGTTGGTATCTGGAGCTATATTAATGTTACCTATTATATTCACTGTCACAGGCATTCTTACTTTAAATATCAATATTAATTAATTAAAAGAATATCTACAAACTAGTGGTTTAGTTTATTTTTATGGTATTGATTTAGTTAGTGATGCAGTGATGTTTGTCCTTAATTTCTAAATGTTTCCCTCGTTTGCCAACAAATACCATTATCAGATTTGAACTTGGTTTCTTGGTTTTGGCAGCAAAGCCTCTCAAATAATATATATATATATCTACATCAGTTCCGTGTAAACATACATAAAAGTATTTATAACCTCCTCTTTTTGCGGGCGGTTAATATACAAAAGGCTCAGTACTTAAGTAAATGGTTCTCTTGTACACGAAATGTTTATATAGTAAACTATTCAAAAATACTTACATTAAAAAAACATGTTTTCTTTTTGTATTATTCAGTCACTAGTTAATCCAACTGTCCTTATCCTGTCGAAAAGTATTCGAAATTATGGATTGTGCAGTCCGGCTCAAATAATGCACCTTCCTAAGAATAGTTAAATTTTCATTTCTTAAGCATTTAATTGTGATCCTAGCGGCCCTACATCTGGCTCTTCTACATCTGCCCCCTCCAACGATGGGTGGCAGGTATTTGGAGCGGCAAAGAAGTCCCTAAAGCGGGGTATTGGTCACCGTATCCCCGGAGGCAGCTCACTTCGGGCTGTCCAATGCGGGCGTATTTAGAAAGGCCAGGGCCATGACCATTATAACCTCGCCAATGATTTCGGGCCGGTAGGGGTCAGGATGCGCCTCGCCCAGAAGGGAGCTCGAGTCCTTGAGTTCCCTGAGGCTGAAGACGCATCGGGCGGCGGAGGCACTGTTACCACCGGCTGAGTGTGGTCGCAGGTGGACGGGACGGGTTTTCCCTTCCATCTGCCATAACGACCAGCCGCAAGGAAAGAGAGTTCAGAGAGTTTAGAGAAATTATTCTCTAAACTAATTAAAATAATTATTATTCTAATTTAAATAATAATTATTTAAATAAAGACTAAATTACAATTGACAGCATTATTAAAGGTGACTGAAAACTTGTGAAAAAAACATTCTATCAAAATGGAGCTTGGTGTACAAGTGTGCAGTCATGTATGTCAAGAAGGGAATTTACAAGTGTAGCATTAACTGTTTTGATCTTTTCGATAACATACCACAACCGCCAGGAGGTGAGACTTAGAAAAAATCTAACATTCCGTTCTATTTAGAAGGGTTAACATGAAATATGCACACATAACAAAAGAAAATAAGAACCAAAAGGTTTCACATACTGTAGTACCGAGATTTACATAGGCAATGGACTTCTACCTCATACCTCAAGGCATCAAAATCATCATCATTAAATATACATTTAAAACATTTTACAAAGCTATCAGCATTCTTTATACTAACTGCGCCCCGCGTTGTTACCCGCGGCCTTATCCCAGTGGAATCCCGGCCTATGTGTTAATCCATGTTGTTGACTACCTTCATACCAAATTTCATCAAAATTGGTGTAGCCTTTTGAGCGTGAATACATAAAAATATACTCACAAACTTTCGCCTTTACAATATTAGTGTGATATCAGGCGGATATTGATATATGACCGAAGTAAAAATATTAAAACGTAATACTCAGACTGCCAATATTATTATCAGGTGCTGGCCTTTTAAGATTGCTATTCCTAAAAGGCCAGATAAATGACCGTCTGGCTACTTCTTTGAACGTTATGTATTACCGAAGTAATCTGATTTAGGATCGTCTTGTCTAATAGTATTAAACGATATTGGCCATAAAATAATGACGCACAATTTTGGTAATGACCCTACGCTGTCGTACTTTTAGGGTTTTCTTTGAATAACGTCTACATTGTGGCATCTACAGGGCAATTTATTACAATTTTTCTAGTGACAATTTACAGGACATCTGTAAACTGAAGATGGCCCGAGGTACGTCGGAGTACCAGGGCTTTCCTTTTTAGGGTAAACCTTTTGGTCGGTTCGAGTCCGACACAACCACAACACTGGCGGGAGGTATCTGATTGGAGTTCCGCACAAAAAAAAGGTGTAATTTATATACGATGTAACCAGGTGGTACGTAATGCAAAATGCCGCCACATTATTTAAAATATAAAAACCTCTTCAACTTCCAGTTTATGGAAGTTCCTTGGAACACTAGACATTTGCAAGCAACACCGCCCTGAGTATAAGATGACAATTGGTTTAGATGATATCAACCGTCATTTCTCAACTACACCTCAGTTGGATCATCAAACCAAGACTCAATTCTCTAGCTAGTCTTACCCATCCTGATATTAAATCCTTTGACTTTCCTTCCGCATCTTCTGAGGACATCAAAAAGATTATCCTGTCAATGTGGATGATTATTACTATCCCGGATCACATTCTTTCAGCAATATCCTATACCATCAACTTTTCACTCGACTCTGAAACCTTTCCCTCACTCTGGCGCAAGACCTACATCATCCTTTTACCCAAAAATTAAACCCTCGCTCCCTGAGCACTTTCGACCAATCTCCATACTGCCCTTTCTTTTTAAAGTGCTAGAAGCATGTGTACTTAAGCAGCTCTCACAGTTTGTACATCATCAGAATCTTCTTAGTCCTTTACAATCTGGGTTCAGACCCGGTCACAGCACAACGGTCCCTCAAGGCGGTATATTATCTCCTTATTATTCTTAGTATTCATTAATCTCATAACCCAACATCTTCTGTGTACGTATCACCTGCACGCTGATTACTCACAAGTGTACACCCATTTAAGGGTTGAGGACGTAACATACGCCATCGATCAAGTCAACAAAGACTTGGACTTTATAAAGAGCTGGTCAACGAGGTTTTGTTTATCGGTAAATCCAACCAAATGTTAAGTGAACGTCGTGGGGAGCAAACAAATGTTAATTAGGTTGGATACGGCCGTCATCCCATCAGTAATTTACAACAACGTGACTATACTTTTGAGTGCAGTAGTAAAGAACCTAGGGTTATGTATCGATTTGACACGTGACTAGCGTGCACAAGTTACATACGTCAGCCAGAAAGACACCACATGTCTCCGCGCTTTATATCGTCTGAAAAACTTCTTTCCCGCTGAAACGAAGGCTACGCTTATGCAGTCGCAGTATGAAGGCTACGCTAATTGACTATGGTGATGTGTGTTATTTTGACCTGAATGCAGACCTTCTCAAGAAACTAGCTCGCCTCCTCAATAACTGCATTCGATTCGTTTTCAATCTTCGCAAGTATGACCATGTGTCTACTTTACCTTCTCAGCTGCAATGGCTCCCAATTCGTCAGCACCGCAGTTTGCCAGCACTGACCTCTCTTTATTTCTTACCTTAACTCTCCATCGTTACCTGAATACCTCATACCCCAATTCCGTTTCTTATGCTCCAATCACGACCGAAATCTTCGGTCAACAAACAATATACTTCTTCTATGCCCCCCTCCAACTTCATCAACTCCTTCTTCTACGTCCAGTCAGTGCTTCTTTCGAATGCGCTTCCTGCTGAAGTCAGGATGTCAACAAACCGCCTGGCATTCAAGATAAAAATGCGCGATCTTCTTCGGAGTGAATGGGCAGAACAGTCACAACGCTAGTAAACGACTAAGAATTTTTATACGAGTATTATATTTATGTATGTGTGTTTATGCATGTATGTGTGTTTATATATTGTGTATACTTCTCTAATTCTATTATGTCAAATTTAATATTTTGTATTACAATTACAATTAATATACAATGTATGATATATAAAATTAATACTACATACAACAAATACTTAATACAGCGGCAATTGGGTACAAAATAATCATCACTTTTAACCACACTTCCTAATTTAGTTTCTTTAATACAATACACTTTTAATAATAATCTTGGTTACAGATAAGAAAACGTTAGATAGAACCGACATAACAATAATCTATTGCCCGCATGAACGGCACGTACGTAGGTACTAAACAAAAAAAACATATAAAGGAACTTTAATTCTGCTTCCATCGTCCGGAATCCGGTTTTTTGTTTTGAGAAAATAAATTGCGGTATATAACGTACAACAGCGGGACAAGTTGCTTTTCTTCCAGTTATTTAGTGCAAGCAAGATGGTACTCTTGTGTGTGAAGTTCGCTCTTTGTGTTATCCTAGCATTCGAAACTCTAATTGGCTGCGATGCTCAGTTTGCTATGCGAAGAAGAGAGGAAATGAGTATGTATTGTTTTGAAGGGTTCTACAGAAAGTTGCGGCAGAATTTTAGGAACGTTATGATTATTTAAATTGAACAAATTTATAATATGTTGTTTAGAAAGTTGTAGATTTGTAAACAACATGATCTGAACTTTCAGGTCAATTTCAATTGACGACTGTAACACAATTTATATTAGTACGGTCATCAACGACGAACTCTTATATCTTTGAAAATGTATTTGTTTTTATTAAATTTGTAAAAAAAAAATCAGACACTTTTAAACAAATCTGGACATTTAATTACCATTCATGTCAGCTCTCTTTCATGCGATATATTAGTTTTTGTTCGTCAATTTTCAAATTGAATTTGTCAGTTTTAAACTAGTGTACGACCTATGACCGCAGCTTTCTGTTATACTCTGTTTGTTCTAAGTATAAGATAGTAGATTAAGTTATACTCTATTAAAAAGCTAGATAAAATAAATAAGTTAAAGCACAGCACCCTTTATATTATGTGCATTAAATATTGTAATACATTGTTTAAGCCATTTTTGCATTGGGTGTAGTTTGACTAGACCATTTTCTAGTGAATAACGTTACCCTTGGGTATCTTAACTGTCCATAGCTTTACGAGTAAAGTAATTTACAATCACATTCGGATGGGTCGTCCGGTTGTTTGTTTCATTAATCCTACAGCAAAATAGACAACTCTTAATACTTATCATTATTTCAGTACCATCAATAACTATTATCTCGTATATTAGAGACATTAACGAGGGCTGTACAATCTCAGCGTATTATTAAAGGAGCATAAAATTTTATATCAATAGAGGAGCATACGTGAATTCTTAAATCTTAATTAAATAGAACCTACATAAATGTCTTTAAAGTTATTAAACGCATGTAAAATTCTTGGACTCATGTCTTATATTATTTCAATACAAAAATGTATTGGTTTTTTTTTCTATTTCCTTCAGATCTAAATAAAGAAAATGACACCACAATAATAACCTTACTTATCTTATTCTTGTACACTACGGCTATCAAGATCTAGAACTATCAAGTTGAATGTGACCTGGTGTTCTACTATGTATAGTATCGTATTCCATAGGACGAATATTAAGGAAAAAGACTTAATGTTAGTCGTATAATTATAAGATTTATGGCATGAATGGTATTCCGTCTGACCTTGTGTCTCAAGTAGTTGGACATCCCAGCCAAGTTCTGGTACTACAATAAAATCTAAACATTTATTTGTTTTATGTAATCTTTTTAATGATACAGCTAATATTAGCATTCATTTCTTATTCCAAAATGGCTAAAAAATAATTTGAATCCAAGCGAAGACAAGCGTTTTGTAGTTTTAGGCCAATATGTATGTCATCACCGCCTTTACAAAGAGTTAAGACTTAGTAAAATTCTTGTTTGCCAATTAGTTCTATATCTCCATAACAAAAATAAAAAAACCTTACCTAATGAATTATTTTAGACGACAAAGGCTTTAGATTCCTAAAATTGTAGTTAATTTTCAAATAGGTAGAGGTAAACAAACCATAGAAATATTCCCTGAGCTTGACACCGTGGCTATGACAGTTTTTTTTTCAAAGACAGCATCCGTCCTAGGAATATATCCTGTGTTGCGAGGGATTTTACAAACATTTGTGAAACGGCACAAAGGACACCCAGACTCAGAACAAAAATTTGTGGATGAGACTAAGTATTGTCCCATGTGGAGTTCGAGCACACAACACTTAGCACAGTAGGAAGCTATGAGGCGATTCGTTACACACCTACGCTATCCGACTGCAATGTGCACATGCAGTCCGTTGACTTTTTGGTAGAATTAGCAATGTGTATGTCATGAAGACCGTTTGAGTGGTAGGATAGCGGATACGGCGCGGTATTTCCGGACCGATACGACTTTCAAACCTTCAAGAAAAGAGCGTACTCCTTCCTAAAAGGCTGGCAACGCGTTTGTGACTCCTGAGTGGCAGACGTTCATGGCCGGCGATAGTCACTTTCCATCAGGTGACACGTCTGCTCGTCTGCCACCTTTAACATAGAAGAAAATCAGGCTTAATAACTAAAAACTTAAAAGATAGTTTACTCATGGGTGGCAAATTTGATTTATTTTTTTAAATAACCTAAATAGATACTGAGTACATTTCGTTAGTTAATTTACTACACATTGTTTAAGGGTTCAAACGTCTCAAAGCTACGTATTATGTATAATTACCGCGTCATTAATAAATTCTTAGACGTTTAGTTTGCAGTTTATAGGCGATTCGTATAAAATAAATGAGAATTAGGGGCGAGCCCTTAATTCTCTCTGTCATCATTATTCGGGACGCTCCTTTCTCTGAGGAACACGAGTGCTTACAAAGGATCTTGACATTTATCTACTTGTTTTGACCTTTATCGAAAATCAGAGAAAAATATAATTTATAAGTGATATTACGGCGTACGTGTGAAGTAATGCTATTTAAACGTAAACATAATATGGTAATCAGACACACATAATTACATATACTCATGCCCGTATCCCTAAAGTAATAAGCAGAGATGTAAAAAACATCCGAATTTTGATAACTTTAGTCCCACTCAAGTAATAGAAAGCAAGCTTATTGCTACGAACTTTAGGAATTAAAAATTGAAGTTATGCTTATACGGATAAATTAGGAAGTATCCCATTTCCAATCCAAGACTTACAGTATTCCTTAAACTCCGAGAAAATGAATCTTCTTCCTTTATTCCTTTTGAAAACAATGATATCTCAATCGGCGTCGGGCTGGTAGCTGGCATTAAAGAAATCACTCAAAGCACGTTTTGGCGACCTGATGACGATGGGTATCTTGATGAGTGTAAGCAATAGCTCAAGAGGGTCAGGGTCGCAGTCTGAGACCTCCAATTTATTTAAACAAACAATTATTACATAAAGAATTACTTCTCTATATTTTAATATAATATATTTTTAGCACCATGCTTGCGAGACTTGCACGAATCGATTGATGACATGAAAAACCTGAATTATCTACATGACGATCATCGGGTTGAATGTACTGTCGTACATCAATATAGTACTACAGAATGTAAAAGGTTGATGATCCCACTCTTCGACGATTATTATTAAATATACGAATATCAATCTTATACATGCATAAACTGGTTCAGTTTTGAAATATCAAGGCCAGTCAATTATACTTTTACTTCTATAAATAGGTTTCATTCGTAAAACTGAAATGCATTAACAACTCTTAACAATTTACTCGCATTTATTTATGACTATAACTTACGTGCATGCCGATAAGTGTGGTATTTACAAAAGAGCTTTCTGAAATATAATTCTAGTGCCATTAAAATAGATATAACAAAGTTGAATGCAAAAAGAATAAGCTCCCAATAATATTCAGTATAAATTTCGTTTATGATGTATTGCGTGTTATACGAAATGTCGAACGACACCTTATTTTAAAGAAGGATTATGTGCTACAAAAACAGTTGCTGAGGCAGACTATCGAAGTAATTTCATTTATGATTATTGTCATAACAGTAACAAAGTTCGATCAGATGAAAATTACGTCAATAAAATTTTACGACCAAAACTTATCAGTTGCCTATTTTTCGATATGATTTTGTTCGTTGACCATAAAAATAGATTAAGTTTTTTGCTGTCTGTATAAATTGATAACAGATAGACTCTCCTCTTAAGCTATTTCTTGCCTACCTATTCCATCTACTTCTGAATGATGGAGGTTAATCTGCAATTACCCTGACATTTGTAGCTTAGATTAAGTACAATTAGATTAGTAGGTGTACCTAATAAATAGGTACTTTTTCAAGACTGTTAATATAGTTTAATTATCTTCGTTGGTACAGCAGACATAATAATAAACATTTATATTTTTTTTAAAAGAATAGTGAGCACAGAGGCAATCGTAACCAATAATTGAGTTCTCTTTCAGCAAAAATAAGAGTGAAGAGAGGATAACACAACAAAAGAGATTCGTGTTACAGAGTAAATTTAAGAAAATATACAGAAACTGAATATATACAGAACCTATAATAAATATATGTAATATATACAAAAGTTTGTAGATTACATTAACAGCCATATGTAACAGTAAATACATAATATCTACATATATTAGTCTGTTACTGCTGAGAAAGGAAAAATTTCCTGATTCGCCTCTTAAAAACACTTAAGGATGGGCTATCGCGTATTGAATGGAGAAGAGAATTCCACAGTCGCACTACAGATACAGTGAAAGACTTGTCATAGCGTGTTGAACTATGAGAAGGAGTTCGGAGGAGAAGAGAAGATAAGGTGCGACAAGGTCTACTTTTGGGGACAAGATAGTCAAAGCTCTCACTCAGATATCCGCTAGTATGCCCATGTAGACTAGTGGTCTACAAAAACGAAATCCTAAAGTGCCCGTGTAGACTAGCAGTCTACAAAAATAAAAACGGAAAGTGCCCGTGTAGACTAGTAGTCTACAAAAATAAAACCGTAAAGTGCCCGTGTAGACCGGTAGTCTACATGGCTCCTGCCACAGATTAATTAGTATTTGACAGTAATTGTATTGACATAATGCTCTTTAGTAATATTTTTTCTATAGTCTGATATATTATCTATGGTATTAATCTCAGTCGAGCATGCAAACACTAGTAAAAAAAAGAATTATACGTCATAAAACTTCTGTCATTTCATCAGTCTTCGAATCGTTCCGTGCAGTGACTGTGTTGGAATTTCTTTGTGATATTATTTTGTGTGTTGGTGAAATTTAAAGTTTTAAATGTATTATAAGGCAATGTTAATGTTATTTTTGTTTTGTTTAGTATGTAGAACAAAAAACATCTGGAAAACTAAGTTATGTTACTGAGAGCATGGGAACTGTTTCAGAAATGTTCATATTATTCAAAAGTGGTGTATGTTATCCCTATTGTTTTTGATTGTAATAAAAGAATATAAGACTACTTATATAGTTATACCTTATTTATATTCCTAACAATGATATTTGTGTACGATATGCCTTGTTAAGTCTTACATAAATTATGCCGCGTGGCGGCCGATAATGGTAAGGATTTAGAGGCCTGTAAATAAATAAATATGTATGGGAGAGTATATGGTTTTATTTCATAACATATTAACTACTATCTAAACAACATAATTAAACATTAAAAACCATAGGTCATCGCTTTCATTTTTGAACTATGAGCTTCGAAGTGCAACACGAGCTTAAAAAGACGTTATCTCAATTTCAACACAGTGTAACTCAACACCAGAGCCGTAATCTGTAAATAGAAAGATAACATTGTTTAGCTAATTTCATAGGCAACTAAATAAATATAACACTTGACACCCTTTCAATACAAACTTTAGTCACAAGAACCGATTAAGTGGAACACGGCGCGCGCGTCGATAACGCAAAAAACAGTGGGGCACTTTACGGGTGGTCGGTATTTGTGCCGGGGCAATCTAGACGGTCTCGCTCGCGAGTCGCGGGCACTCTGGACGCCGCGGGCGCCATGACAGGGGCATACGAGCGGATATACAGGGTTATGAGGAACCGAATACAGTAAAGGAAGACTTTTTGTCACATAGCACACACATACACATTATTCTTGACTTTCTTTGCACTTCAATTAATTTTTTTCCTTATAAAATAAACAATACAGTATGTTTGAAATACGAAACATTCTTTTATTAATTAATCGAGGACAAATATTAATCGCCATGGATATAAAAAAAGAAAACAATATATAATATATAGGCATATTACAATTTAATATATAATACTATGTTTAAATTTAACAGAAACATTTTGCATAAACAAACTGTTACAAAAAATAATAAAAAAATGACATGAGGAATCTATGGAACCCTGGTCGCAACGAAGTTCCGCAAGAAGTGTCCAAAAAAAGTCTTGTTACATTTTTCAGTCTCGCTCCCATTCGTTCAAAGCGTGTAACGCGCGATGAGGACCTTCGTTCCGGAAGAGATATAATGCATATAAATTTAAAAACTCAACTTATAAAACTATAGAAAATTCTCAAAAAAATATTATAGTGTTGAATAGAATTTATCGACGATGGCTATAATAGGCTATACAACAATATACTACCCCCAACAGGAGCCGAGCATCAACGACTTTCGCAAAAAGTGTCGGCAAAAATCTACTTACACATCTTTCAGTCTCGCTCCCATACGCTCTGAGGGTGAACGCGCAATAAGGAACTTCGTTTCTAAATGTTGCAAACACAGGGAACATTTATTCCTTTTGAGTAAAGCAGTCTAAGTTGCATTGGACAGCTAGTAAACTTATATACAATGCACCAGACAACACATAATTTGAGTTTTATAGATAATTTTGAAACCATGTTCTTCAATACAAGAATGTAACTAAAAAACCGTAAAATAAATATACAAAAATGAATTATATAATAATTTTGCTTCACTTTGACATGAACAGCCTCGGCTTGCGTCACATACCGTGTATCAGATATATAAAGGTTCGATTCCCGCTCAAGTCAAACCATCCATCCATGAACATTTAATGTCTGATTAGGTTCGGGTGTCTCTATGTATGTTTAATATGTACGTATCTACACAAAAAGTATATATGTATTTAGTACCCATAGTACAAGCTCTGCTTAGTTAGTAATGCATTGGAATAATTATAATTGTATTGTTGTACCTATATTATGACAAAGAACGATCATTGAGTGGCCCAGATAAATCCTGAGAGGTTTTCTTGGTTCGGCCATTATTTTGTAAATTTTGTGATTTATAAAAAACTTACAAGAAAATGTCCTTATAAAACATGGTATACCACACAGACAGGTTTCATAATATTATCACGTTTGCCAGTTTCCTTCGTGAATTTGGTCCACAATTTTATGTACTTAAGGCTGCCATCAATTTATGATCGCATTTTCAATATTCGGTCCGGGTACATTACAATTTAAAAGGAATATGAATTTGATGAGAAAGATGAGACTAATTTTTCAAAGTGTTTGCTGTCTATTCCCTATTAACTACCTAAAAAGGGATACAATTGATCTAAGTGTATTAAATCAAAATTATGTACCAAGTCAGTTTTTTTTTGTTAAAGTTTAGCATGATTGTTAAGCGTTAAAGCAACAAAATGTTAAACAGACACACAGCAACAGTTTTAAAAAATCCGTTCATACTCATATCCTTGCACATTGCACAACTTTCACTCACTTACGTGTAACTAGTAGTAGAACCAGGCCTGGATTAACCATTAGGCAGAGTAGGTAACTGCCTAGGTCCCCACTCTTGCTTTTATTTCTTGAGGAGTAAAGCATAAGTCAGGTGATGCTATTGATGCTTTGGTGATTACTACAACCTTTCATCGACTTACAAGGAATCTTCAAAAAAAGGAACCCGAGGATTGCATTACAGAGTTAAACAACTTACTTGTAGAAGAAATACCTACAATCAGCACTACTACTAAATGTATTGTGTGTGAAGTAGGCCTCCTAGTTTTCCATTTTCCGTATATAACCTTAAATCCCTAATGTTTCAACTCCGAAAGAACCACGTTTCCCGTAGGTTTTATAAGGAAAAAGAATGGCTTTTGTTTTTTTTTTAAAGATTTATTTATCATTCAACTTCTTATTATTGACTTTTCTTTTTCAGTGTCACCATTGCCGTTCCCCACCTGCAGAGCAGACAACATCGACTGTCTACGGCGCGGCTTAAGAACATTTATGTTTCTTATGAATACTAACCATTTCGGCATGAAATCGGTTGACCCGGCGATAATAGATAGTGTAGCGCTAGCACTACCCGAACAGCAAATGTCATTTTTCCTGAGAAGGGTCAACGCGACCGGCGTCAATTGGACGAAACTTGTCGAAAGGAGGTGGTATTCAATTTATTTATACGAAAATTTACTTTATTGTCCGGTGCGTACAAGGAATATTGTGTTGCAGATATAGAATTTGGGAAGTTAAGCAGTTGATTTAATATTTTACATTATACTTTAGTGGATAATAGGGTTGTTTGTTTGAGCGGGAAGGTTGTGTGTGGTATTTTATGAATGTAGACGTTTTAAATAATGGGATTACGTTTACCCAAAACGCTATCTCGTCGAAGCTTTGTGTGGTTGGCGGTAGTCATTAACATATTATTTTATAATCTAAGTACCTAAATTAATTGTAATAAACTTTACAATTTTATATACCCAAATGCTATACTCTATATATAATTATATATATGGAGTATAGCATCTGAGTATAAATTGAGTAATAATTTTTAAACAATCATATACTCAAATGCAATTTCATTTATTAGCAACAATATGTTTACAATGTATAATCTTGCAGTAGGTACTTAGGTAGGATTATTTTGTAGCCCGCATACATTCCAATATTATATGAATGCAGAAAATATGTATTTATTGTGAAATATGTTATTAATGTCAGATTTATGTCCGTTCTATAAATACGCAGAGGTATGTGTGCTCGGTTTATGACAATAGGCTAGCTTATGCCTATATATATTTCAGTAAAAATCTTACTGAAATATATTCAGTAAGATTTTAGTAATTAACTAAAATTTTACTCAAACAATCATTAAAATGATTTTATATCATGTACTCAGTAAATTCCCTTTAAAAATAAGAGTAGGAGTGAAAAAAATGTACCAAAAAATTTACCGGCAATATCCACATTATTATTAGTAGGCCAAAACCTCCTTTCTAAGGAGAGGCTTATGTCCAGCAGTGGACTGTTAAAGGCTGTTGATGTGATGATCCACATTATCTATCTTTGACCCTTTCTTAACAAAAATCCATTGGTGGAATTCGGTCCTCACATTCTCACTTACCTCTAGCGCCCCTACCGGGCATTCCCGGTCTAATAGTCATTATGTTTTCTGTGATTTATCCATACATTCTGTTTTATTGGCACTACTTGTTCTATTTACTAGTCCTAAATTTTGGAGCATAGTGTACAGGGGATGTAACTCAGTGGTAGAGTGTCTGCTTCGCATGCTGAAAGTCCTGGGTTCAAATCCCAGCATCTCCAAAGTGATTTTGATATTCGTTAAATGTAAACATGTTTTTGTAATTATTTATGTTTTTAGATTTAATTTAGAAGGCGGAAGAAGTGGGGTTTTATTTAATAGTGATTTACATGTGACTGCTCAGTTAACTATGGAGCATGCGAGCAGATTCGTACCTCAAACAGTACTTATAACAATGGACATTCGTAAGTATAATAGCGATGTGAACTTACTTTCTTTTTAATTGTTATAATTTATAAATTTTGCTATTGTACTCTGGTAGGTACTTAAAAATGTTATTTTTTATAACCTTTATGAATAGGTATCGTTTGTGTGAAAAATGTGTAACCAATTGTATTACTTAACTTTATAGACCTAAGACATAAAAATGTCTTTTTCTAGCCATTTTGTACCTTAAGTATATCAGTGAAATTTTGTAGTTAGGTGACTATTCAGCCTTACCTAATACAATACTACTCACAAAAATTGAAGGATATGAAAAAAATAATTGTTGGGTGATTTTCAACAAGCTGTAACTCCGACCATAATGACGTACCTACAGCAAAATAAAAAAATGCAAATGATAGCTCTTAGTGTCTAGTTTTTAGATCTGGCCATAATTTTTTTTCATTATGTGTGGTCCTAGAGTAATCCTAAGGAAACTGCAGAAAAAAAATTACGTCATTAAAAAGTCTGTACAATGATTTGCTGCGGAGTAATCGTCAATCAAAACAAAAAAAAAATAACTTTGATAATCAATAACTCTGGAAATCATTATTGTACAGGATATCAAAGAAAGGTTTTGAAAACTGTACAATATTCCCTATGAGATACCATTAAGTAATGGGTTTTGATAAAAAAAAATCGGAGCAATAAGATAAAAATTCGCATATTTAAGGATATTTGGATATTTTGGTATAACTTTGGATAAAATGGTTGGACGAAGAATATCGTTGGTAATAGTTCAAGCTTAAAGTGTTTCGGAAAATCCCTGAGAAATTCAAAGCGCTGTAATTTTTTTTTTAGCGTCCTGTAGATTTAAATTTTTCGTTTCCGCATAATCGCCGTTACGAACAATTTTTCCGATTCTTATTCATTTTTCCAATATTAGCATAATAAATTTCTCAGGAATGTTCCGGGATTACTTTTATATATTCTTCGATACTTATTACCCAAAGATATTTAATTAGGTATAGAATGAAACAAAACAAATCAGCCAAAACATACAAGAAAAATAAGGAAATTAATCCCTCACGAGCTGCCACCTAAACCTAACCCTGGGTCGCAATTCCCAGGCGCTGTCGAAGTTGCATGTGTTGCTCCCATCTATCACGCGATGGACCCGGCAACCGCACAGTGAATCTATAGAACGCTAAGAAATAGGTCTTCATTCATTCAGATTCATTTAAACTTAATTCAAATAAATTTATAATATTTTAATTACTTACATAGGTACCTACCCTCTTCTTATTATTAAAACGTTAATTTGGGATCCAATTATTAAAACCTTTTAAGTATAGGTATTTGTTATGTCTTATTTCCGTAGTTTGTTTAGATGGCGGTGCGAAACCGGGAGAGGTTTAGAATTCTTCACCATAGATAATTGGTTCTTTGTGTCCGTTACATGAATGTTTGCAAAGTCCCCGCGAAACAGGATAGGTACATTCAAGTTATCTTTTAAAAAAAAATGGTTTATGAAACTGATGATTCTGTATAAACCTAAACCTAAGCATAAAATAATATACCTACAGGTATTTGCTTTATACCATACCCACATCACATCACATCATCATCAGCCTTTAATAGTCCACTGCTGGACATAGGCCTCTCCTTAGAAAGGAGGTTTTGGCCTACTACACCACGCTGGCCAGACGGGTTGGTATAGGGTTTGTGTCAAGTTTTCCTTCTTTTTGCAGTGCTGGTGACCTGCGCGTTGTTTTGCGCCCTTAGTCGGCTCTTACGACACCCACGGGATGAATTGGGGTAGTGACATTCCGTATTCTTAATCCGTCACTACACGGACATACCATACCCAACCCAAATTAATACAACAAATATTTGTACTGCAAGTAAAGTAAAACACACAAAACAGCAGAGGTTAAATATTGTGGTTTCCACAAAACAAATTATTTCGCAAAGTTAAGGTAAATACCGGTCGCGTGCAATTAAACTTTGCGAAACTGCAGTTTGCAGTTCGGGTGAATGATCCAGAATAATTACCTACTGGACAGTTTTAAATTTCAGAGTCCGTCGAGAGCAACATTACATACCCTTGGAGTATTCAACAGGGCATCGATAATGAAGATTATATTGTAATTGGTCCAGAGAGAATAGCGGTCAGGAATAAGCGAACACCGTCGTTTTTTTTACAACCAAGTAAGGATTTATTTATCTGTTTACGGCAAATTGGTTATAAAACGCTGGCAATAAAAAAGAAATGTAAGTCGGGTAACATTAACACAATTATTTCTCTTGGGTGAGTTTTAATCGAACCCATGACCTCTCACCTCTCACTGGACCAAAAGACCAGTCATCCACCACTTATCTACTCAGATTTATGTAACAGAGGTGTCAGTGTAATTTTAGCAATTACGCTACCTACCTCTGTTAAGTACTTGCTTTTCTGCTGGATTACTTGCGATCAAAAAGTCTGGTTAGACGTTTAACTGCAACCCAGCAGGAGTATTTTCTAAGAAAAATAATGGAAATACTAAAAGAATTATTATAGTCACAAAAGACAGATAGATACCTGCCAAAAGTCTGGAATAATACTCGTTATACCAGGTAACACATTATTATAACTTAGACTATTCTGATGTAAGGTCCATTAAAAACTTATGTATTATATTGAGCACTGGCTTTCATCCATGACTTAAAAATAGGTAGGTACCTAATTATTCTAGCGCTCGAGAACCTCTGGTTTTCTGGATGATAGTACCATGTCCATATGTATTATGTATAAGAAGTATTATAAACAAACAAACTCACAGTGGCATTTCTAATTACTTGGGATTACCACCTTAGGTGTCATGTTTCATATTCCTTTACCTAATTAGGCTTTTACAAGGCCAAGTTAAGGTTGTGGGCAATGACCAACCAAACATTTTTACAGTACAAAATAAACATTCCAAAATAAGTTGTGTTGTGTGTGTGGCGATAAGAAAATATATCTTAAAATTAATGTTGTTCAAATGGTTTTGGTTCTAAAGGTCTGAATCCTCTATCCCTATCCCATATAACCTGCTGGCATTTAGGTGCATAGTATTGGTGTGGATGTCTACTGCATTTCTTGTTTTACCTAATCCAAAATCTAAATTTTATATTATATTTAAAACATTATATTTCTACAACTCTGACTTTAGGATATAGCTCACACGCCAATTCTTTTCTGCTCTAGTGATCAACAGCTTACAATAGTCTGTGTTTATGTTATACAGATAGCCATAAAGTATAACATTGTATCTAAGTAGTAAACACACTAAACCACATTACAGTTACTTAAAATATTGGAGTTCTATTGCGGAGTTAGGTCACAATCGATTTTAGTGTACCTACAGCCTTCAGAATTTCATGGTAATATTACATCCATAAATGTATATTGTTTTTTTTGCAAATAAATTATTCTTATTCTAAGATTAAGTTTTATATATAAAAAAAAGGTTTTTTTTTTCAGTTACAAAAGATTCAGTAATGCTTGATCAAGTTCTTCAAATGAGACCATCAATACTAGAACATTTCTCCAATGAAATAACTACAGTATTAATGCAAACCATTGTAGAAAACTTCAGAAAATTTGCTTCAATGGTACCAATAAGATATTACTATCAATACTATGTGGATGACTTAATGTAATATTAATTTGCTGTTAATTTCCTGTAAATCAACATTAAAATAAAAACATATGACATGTAAAAAGTTACTTAATTTATTAAAATAATTACAAGACACAAAAGACTTTCTTTTTCAATATCTCAAAATGCATCACCTAAAGATTCTTCAACAAACTTTTTATAAATAGACATAAATTTAGCAACAAACGCTTCAAGGTGGAAGATAGGTTTGTTACCTAATCTCATTCTATGCTCATAGCTGGCAGCGTGACTAGCAACTTGGCATTTCATAGCCATATCACAGTTTCTAACCAATTCTTTTAGCAGGCCAGAAAATATCATATCTGGTGGCACTCCATGTATAATTAACTCATACAATTTTTGTCTTACTTCACTTAATTTCTTTGGAGACTGCTCTGACAATATCATATTAGCAGTTTCTCTAATAAATTGTTGCCAGTCTGGTTCTGGTATTTTTTGGTCTGGTGTGAACGGGTACTGCTGTACTTTACACGCTTCGCACATGAGCAATGCTCTTCTTAAATTACGATCTGCAGCTTTAGCTATACGCAAGGCCAGCTCTGGAGGTAAATTTAAACATTCTTTTTTACAAACTAACTGCAGGACTGAAGCAATTTCATTTTCTGTTGGTGCAGGCACTCTAATGGTCAAACAACGAGATCTTATGGCAGGAATGACTCGTGAAATTGAATTAGCAATCAGAATAAGTCGACAAGTAGCTACATATTTCTCCATGGTTCGTCGCAAAGCGTGTTGTGCATCTTTGGTCAAGTCGTCTACTTCATTCAATATAACAACTTTGAATTCCTTTTGTCCAGATGAATCTATCTGATGCGTTTGGGCTACATTTTTGACTAAATCCATAATCACAACACGATCGTAGATCCCCACATCTGTTGGGTTTACCTCAATATGATAATTGCTACTTACGGTCATGATTTCTACTTTCTTATTAGACGGGGTAGTAAAAGTCATAGTTTCTTGTCTTAATCTTTCTACCCCCGAACCATATAATTCTCTCAGCAAACACATGATTCTAGTTTTCTTTCCGGCACCAGAAGGGCCGTAAACCAGAAGATGTGGAAAATCGCTTTGTTGGACGAGACTCTTTGACCGTACAGCCTGATCCTTATGAAAATCCAGTTTCATCAAGTCTCTTGGTCTATGTTTATCAACCCAGAGACTCATTTTAGTATAACAAGAAGATAACGAACGAATATCCAATAAATAAGTTTCAGCAGTGCAATAACCGCGAAACAAATTAAAATAATTGTCAAAGTTGTTAACGTAGTGTTGCCATTGTAAGGGCAGTAGTTGAAGGTATTTTCGAAATTACTTTACTCACTGCTTTGGAAACCCCTAAAATAACTGTTGCAAACATTTTATTTTATGCTCATATCCTTTTTTTTTTTTTTTTTTTTTAATAATAATATTGTTTATTTAAATTTAAAAACGTATTACAATATTCAATTACTTCTGCCAAACTGCACAGCAGTTTGTTGGCAGACGTAGCTCCCACTTTATCATATTACATTAATTTAACTATTGTTATTACACTCTTTATTATAATTTAACAATTACATTATCATATCCTTTTTACAAAAATAAAAAAATAAAAATTAAATTTAAAATAATAAAATAAATAACATGCAAAATTACAGTAACGATCATTTAATCAAATTAATTAAAATTACCTAGTGATTAGTTATTGTTAACAAAGATACTTAAGTAACATGACATAACAAACATGACAGGAACCCAAAGTGTAGTTATAATAACTATACTTTAGGTTCCCGTCATGTTTTCACTGATCACATTTAGAAGAAACTTTGTTACTTTGTATTTAAACGACCGTTTTGAAGTACAAGCACTTTCTATGTCTGTAGGTAAACTGTTATATATAGTTGGTACTAAATATTTATTGCATCTTTGGCCATAATAATTATGGCAAATGGGCACCTCAAAAGTCCTACAATATTTTGCACCTCGAGGCCTTAGTTGCACAGCCCTGACTTTGTACTCTTGGTGGCAGTAATGATCTAATGCTACTAATAGCGCTACCTTCTCATGCACTGGCAGGATTTTACACTCAACAAACAATTCCTCATAGTTGGTTATTTTACACCGTAATTTTGTTTTATAGTTGTCTACTAACCTTTTCATAAATCTTGTTTGCAAGGCTTTAATCTTATCCAAGTACGTTTTAAACGTGCGTCCATAACATGCCAGTCCATAGGAAAGCAGCGAATCCACCAGCGCATAGTAAACAACAAACAAAGTAGCCCTGTCCAGTACGCCACTGAGGTGGTGGAATTTTACAAGGACAGATCGTAATTTATCACAAAGTTTAGTAATGTGCGCTTTCCAAGAAAAATTGGTGTCTATCACTAATCCTAAGTACCTGTACTCTCCCACCACCTCTATAGCCGCACACTCACACCGCGATCCACTGCCGTCGTACTCGCTATGCAGACATTCATAGCTATGTCCTATAATGCGCGGCGAGCGTCCAATACTTTTGTGATAGGGTGAGTGTATATGCATACATTTTGTTTTGTTTATGTTTATAACAAGTCCGTTATCATGTGCCCACTTTATAATATTTGTGATATCGTCTTGGATTTTTTTTTCTATTACACTTAGATCGTTATCAGCGTACACCAGACATGTATCATCTGCATACATATACTTAAGACAGTTATGCACCACATTGCACATGCTATTAACATGCATAATAAACCCTACCGGGCCATACACCGATCCGGTTGGCACGCCACACCTGATATTTTTAGCCTCCCCTACCACTCCATCGACAAGAGTTTTTAGCGTCCTATCTGTGAGGTATGCGCGGAGCCATGTATTAAGTGGTCCCGCGATTCCACACTCCTGCATAGCTTGAAGTAACTGGTGGTGCTCCAAGGTATCAAATGCTTTTTTGAAATCAATATAGATCACCACCACCTGCTTCCGCAGGTCTAGGTATTCATTGATATCATTAGAGAATTGTGCCAGAGCTGTAGCCGTACTCCTACCTCGCCTAAAACCGTGTTGGGCATTTGTTAAGATATTATTTTTCTCCAAAAACGTGCTTATTTGGCCTACAACATACTTTTCCATAATTTTATTTATTACTGAGAGTATAGCTATTGGCCTATAGTTTGAGTATTCTGTATGTGCACCTTGCTTAAAAATCGGCCTTATCAGTGCAGTTTTTAATTGTTGAGGGTATATTCCTTTTTCTACACACAAATTAATAAATAAGGCTAATATAGGACTTATTTGCGACTTTAGATACTTTATTTCCTTTACCCTTATATTGTCTACACCTGCAGATTTTTCACAGCTTAGCGAATTGATAATTTTATAAACATCTTCTGGAGAAGCTCTTTGAAATCTCATTGACACTTGGCTATTGTCGACATAAGTAGACCTATCCATTAACTTATATCGACATACATGTTTTATCTCTGAGATTTCTTGAGTGAAGGTAGTCGAAAAGTTATTGCATATGTCAATTTTGCTGTCTATTCTACCTAAGTGTTTTAAAATAATATCGTCTAGGCTACTTTTCTCCTTCCCTACCCATGTGTTTATTTTGTCCCAGATTTTTCTAACGTTCTTGTTACATTTTTTTATCTCTGCCTGGCGATATTTTATTTTTAGCCCTACATATATATTTACTCGTTCTATTTCTATATTTATTGTATTGTAATCTTAAAGTCATATCGTTAGGATTTGATTTCCATTTTTGAAAGAGTTTATCCCTAGTATAAATCATTCTTCTAATTGTTTCAGTGATCCATGGCTTATTCTTCCTACCGTTACGTATAGTTATTTGTGTTTTCGACTTATTATAAACATCGCAAAAAATTAAATAAAGGCTATTAAATAAATCAATAGGGCACTTACAGTTCAGGAGGTCCGACCATGTAATATTGTCTAATAATTCAATAATCTTTGTATCATTAAAAATTGTCCGTTCAGATTGTTTGTTACTTACGGAATTTATGGTACCTTTATTAAGACACACTCCTATAATATAGTGATCTGATATCTTACAGTTCAATACATATGAAGATGCACTGCACAGGGTTCGAATCCACACCTGGTCAATACACGATCGCGTCACAGTGTCACCGTACACCTCCTCCCTTGTTACGTCACGCAAGGCGCATTCCATACCTATCTCACACATATTGTTTTCGAAGTTGTTGACAACGCTGCCGGAACCGGTTTTGCACAAAAGATCTACGTTCGTGTCGCCGATCACTAATAATTCACAGCCAACTGGGATCTCAGATAACAACTTATGCACTTCTTCAACAAATCCTTGTTTATTTGTTTTTGGGGGCCGGTATATGACAAAAATATGTACAGGGTTCATTCCGTCTTGGAAAAGCCGGCCATGAATCAATTCACAGTAACGAGTATTTAGTATTTTTGCGGTGAAGTTTAGTTTATTATTAACATATAGCAAAATCCCCCCGCCTCTCTTATTTTCCCTCGTATTTACATATGTGTCATATCCTTCTATGTTATACAATGGTAGTTCTTGCTGTCTTATGTTTATTTCACTCAATGCAATAAAGTCTAAGTGTTCCTTGCAGTTATCAATTAAAACTAGGAATTGATCAAAATTTTTTCTTAGTGACCTTATATTTAAGTGAATAATATTCAAATCTTTCTTGCATTGTAATATTTCCTCTTCCCAGCTATCTATGGATATGAATTTATTGTACTTTATATTACTTTTTATATTCAATACGTGATTATCGAATTTTGGTACAATTATTTAACTGAGTGCCATAACCATATACGGACCCATTACTTATTGCCCGTGATTTCGTTTATGTACATATTTATGTCACTCAATGTACGGATTGATCTTATCTTTGTATCATTTGGATCATCTTTTTTTATGAGCACCCTACCATTTTGTATCCAAATATATCTATAAGTGGGCTTTAGTTCATTTTTCGCCGTCCAGAGAATGTTACGCATGTACTTCGTGAGATCCTCATTTATATAAATCCTTTGTTTGTTTCCGTTGGCAAAAACATCATCATTGGTTATTTTGTGGGTTTTTCTTGTAGTTAACCACTTGTCGCGGGCGGCTCGTGTACATAGTGTGATTACAACTGGGCGTGGTTTTTGCTTATTGTTGTCAGCAGAGTCGCCATGCACGGAGCTGGTATTGCGCGCAGCTCCGCGCTTATTTTCTTCACCTACCCTTTTAATTTCACATATCTTTTCGGCGTCTAAGCCTAGTTTTCCTGCTACACCTTTTACTGTTAAATCTAAATTTTCATTAGGTTTTTCCTCCAATCCAAATATTTCCACATTTCTTTCTTTCTCATGTATTTCTAAATAGGTTATTCTTTCTTCTAGGGACTTGTTAAGTGTTTCTAAATGCGAGTTTTTATGTTCCAATGCTTTAATCTTTTTGTCTGATTTTTCTTTCTCTTCTATTAACTCTTGGTACTTCTCTGCATAGAAGCTTATATCTTCAGACATAGATTCCAATGTTTTTTTCATGTTGAAAACTATTGCCAGCTTTTCATTTACTTCGGCTAACAGTCTTTCCGGGGTTGTTTTTGTTAGATCAACGTCGATGGAAGGTTGACCTGCTTGCGGGATTTTTCATTCATCACAAAGGCCGGTGTCGGCGAATGCCTTGATTTTGAAGCCACACTGGATTTATGTCGTACCTAAACATTGTGATATTTTGCAAAATAATGTCCTTAATGACATAAAATTATTAAAACAAATAATTAAGAAAAAAAAACAAAAAAAAGACAGAAATAGTTTTTTGTAACTTGTAATTAGATTGTTACAAAAAGTTCAATAGACACATTTGTTACTACTTAGCTAGATTAAGGGGGTACTTAATAGAATTTTAAAGTTTTCTCATTATCAACACAAAACATTTTCACTGTAACTGTTTATAAGGTAATCTACTTGTTATTAATCTTAAATAGAAATAAGGCTTCAGTAATTAAAATTAGCAAAATAATTGACTGAAATGCATAGACGAATGTTACAAGAGCGATAAAATGTTTTAGTGCTTACTTTTAGTCTGTTTAAAGGTTGACTGTAAAAAAAACATATAATCAAAAAACAAAAGAAAATGGAGTGATTATACAGATATCATTATTTAAAAAAAGAAAAAGTTAAAGACAATATAAAAATGATACAATTATGTAAGTTTTTCTACTTATTTAGTACAATAATCACTAGTGTCAATGTCCTCCTATTTATATGTCAGTGTCATTCATTATCATGAACAGCTGAACGTAAATATTTAGATTATTTAGATTTAATAGAAATATAACATATAACTAGTTTAAATAATATAGATAATAATATTAATCTTATTTCTATATTTTTACACGTCATGTGCAAATAAAAATGTCGGTGCAGTTGGTTATTTTACAAATCTGTTTTGTTTTTTTTAACTTTATTTGTGGTGAAGAAATAAATTTGTATGGCGACGCAGGCCAAGCATATTCTGTTGAGGTTTGCTTAGGCCACCCACATCAAAAGGTATGTATGCTTAGTAAAGTTCTACATTGTTCTAATTACAGTGAATTTAAGAACATTATACAACCAAGTTTATTACTTGTTTATAGCTTACAGATACATTTGGCTACCTTTCAACTAACATTTTAATTTTTATCTGTAGTGTAAAAGCACAAAGCTACTAAATATAGAAGTCCAACATATTGATTTCATTTTAGAACCTTGAGTTTTACCACGCCAAACTCACTACCTGTTTTAATACAGTCATCTGTCTTACTAGGCCCTCATACCTTTTCAGAAAAGTTGTCAAATTACCTTTAATATTTAACAGTAATCATCATCATTATTATTACCATTAATATTGCAATGTGTTATGCACAATTGAAACACAAGTATAAAAATATTAGAATAATTATACATACCTACATATAAGTTCTTTTGAATTTTGGTGGTCTTTTATATTAGTGCACATAAATCATTCTCATTCAATTAGGTATGTGGATATAAGATATGCAATCACCAGAATGTATAATTGGGAGATCACTAAGAGAATCAAGTAACACACAATGCCTGAAATATTCAAATATTTTAAATATAATTCAAATATGTATTATTTGTAAAGAATTGTAAAAACTTTTGGAAAGTAAGGATAAAGCGCTAAAGGAATGTCAGTTGAAAGGCTGAATTAAAGATGATGATATTTATATATTAAACACTAAGAGTGATTTAGTTTGGAGTTAACGGTGCACAACATACAGCATCATGTTTGAGTTTGTTTTTAACTTTACATGGTTAACTAAATTGTAATTATGTTGCATGTGCTCTTGGATTATTGGTAACTACTACTACTTCCTCTAACGAGTTTGCTACTTACTTACTTTCATATAGGTAAAAGTTTTACAATGTTAAAAACCACATAATTAACCTTCATATAATTATTATGTAAAATATAAAATTGTTTTTTTTTATTAATTATTACAGCTCAAACTTCTAGTGGATACTGGTAGCACTACTTTGGCCGTAGCCTCATATCCTCGTCAGAACAGTCAAGAATACTTTCATTCTGATAATTCTACCAGTATTTATGATATTGGAAAAAAGGTAAGGCATTCAAATGATGCTACCAGACCTGGCAATTATAATGTCCAAATTTAACCTTCTATTTGTGTTTATTTTAATAAAATAATATTAATTTAGTTATAAAAAGAAAATGTAGACAAAATTTAACAATTTGCATGCTAATTTCCCATAAGTTGTTTATATATTTTAAGAATTATATGTATTTTTACTAGTTTACCAATATAAAAATATACTACTAAAGTATATTTTTATTGGTAACAAAACATATTTAAAAAAACCCAACAGTAAATTAAAACCAAAAACAGACAGTGAATAAAACACCTATATCAATCAGGCTTTGAAATCAAACCCCCTATTGTAATAATAAAAAATTAAAAAATTTAATTAATATTGTGTTGGGTCTGTTTTAAAGAAAAATAAAACTAAAAATTAAATTGGTGGCATCAAATAGAAACAAAATAACAAAATAAAAGTCTCGGGCGCCAGATACCACCTTAAAAGAACACAGAACCCACCACAAACACAACAAATACCTCGGACATCTCAGCCAGCGTTGAACCTTTTTAACCCATGGCGGGAGGCAGCTAATGAATACAAGATGTTAAGTTCTAATGGCAGTTTATTATCCCGTAGTGTCTGTAGAGTACAATGTGTCTTATGTCTCTAATTACAATAGGTAATTCTTATACACAAATTAGTACTGTCATTAATGCAATCCTTTCCAATAAGAAAAATATAAGGTTAAATAAGTTTTAAAGAGTCACATGAAGACCCAAAAAGAAAAGAGTTTAAGGGTAGTTGTAGCAACGCCCTACTCCCTTAATTAAAATTAACCCCTTTGGGGACCTGTATAGGTTTTTAAACAAAGTCGCATAAAGACTTAATAGACAAAACAATAAACTCTAAGGGTAGACATAGCATTGACCTACTCTCTAATAAAAATAACACCCCTTGGGGACCTGCAGTATTCAATGCCACATCGCCAAGAAAAATATATAACAAAACACATACCAATGACCTTGGATCAGTCCGAATGAAATGAACTCAAACCAACTCCGAAACTTCTCACTCCGGTTCCCACGTGGTGGAAGAGGCGGGTTAGCACTCCCAGGCTCCAGACAATGGCGTACAGCTAAGCAGCTTTTTCTACCATTCCGGGGCTCCACAGCAAACTAATTTCCAGGGGTTAAACTCCGGCGAGAGACAAAAACCGAATGCCACGCAATGACATTCCAATAAGAATGTAAAGAAATTTAGGTATAAAAGGAAAATAGAGTATAATTAAAACTTTAGATATAAACCAAAAACCCTGATTCATCTGCAAATAAGGAAAAATTATAGGTTAAAAGCCTATCTCACAAGATGAATCATAACTCTGACAAGAAATCATATTTCACTTACCAGGGTTCTAAAATGTTTCACAAATCAAGCAGCGGCATTATAAGCATTATAAGCATTGCCTGTAACCAATTAAACCAAGAGTTAAAACCACAAATTCCGCCAAGCCAAGCGTGAAGCACGTGGCCGAACAAAACTTACCTTTTCAACAAAAATAATCACTCGAACCAATAGCTCGAGTCCTAACTAGGTTGGCCAAACATTTAAAGAGGAAATAGGCCCTCGTCCATAACAAATAAATAAGGATTACTAAAAAATTAAATGACAAAACTTGCTTCGCTTCATTTCATTCGGCGGTCGGTCCAAAAGTGAAGCCAACGTGTTGCCAGTGCAAAAGCCTGTCGCTCCTTAGAGCGGGAAAAAAAAATGTTGCCAGGACAAGAAAAACTAAATCGACTAACTAATCGCGGGCGAACAACATCGATTATTACTCTCGTCCGTCCCTCGACCGTCGGCACACGCAGAAACGACAAAAAATTCAACCTAACAAAACAAAAACGAGACTAAGGTTCAAATTACTGTAATGGTGCGAAATGCACCGTTACATTACATACCTTCCCGAAAAAAAAAAAAAAAAGAAAGGACTCTTTCTTTTATGCTGAAAAGTCACCACTCAACAAACATATCAAACAAAAAGATTGCAAAATATCTAAACTCCAAAACTGACTCTACCAAACTCCACTAAAACTCTACAAACTCCAGGAATACAAAAATCCATACGCCAAAAAGGACTAGGAAACCAAATATAAAATCAAAATATACTCTACAACAGAATCACACAAACCCAAAAACAAATCCCTAAACCAAGCTACCATTAGGACTGGAAAGTCCAAAAAGTGCGGTTGGACACCCTCGTCACCGACTCTAATGGAGCTTCAAACACAACAAAATATACTACACAAACTGCTTCCATTGGGAACTGTATATCTAAAAAGATACCAGTTTCCACGAAGTGCGGTTGGACACCCTCGTCACCGACTCTAATGGAGCTCAAACTACAACAAAATACACTAACAACAACAAAGTAAACTCCATAAACAACATCCATTAGGAATTGTATCTTAAAAGATATCAATATCCAAGAAGTGCGGTTCTACACCTTCGTCACCGACTCTAATGGAGTTACAAACTACACAAAACAAAACAACATCCATCAGGAAATGCATATCTCAAAGATATCAATATCCAAGAAGTGCGGTTGGACACCTTCGTCACCGACTCTAATGGAGTTACAAAATGCTTCACCCTAACATTCAAACACATGTCAAACATGTCGAACCAAACAAAATATTCATCCCAACAAGGCGGGGAGAATATATAAAAAACCTGTGTATTGTGATCGGCTCAACACCACCGAACTACCGGGCACAATACGACAGAAACCAAACAAAAATATTCATCCCAACAAGGCGGGGAGAATATATAAAAAACCTGTGTATTGTGATCGGCTCAACACCACCGAACTACCGGGCACAATACGACAGAAACCAAACAAAAATATTCATCCCAACAAGGCGGGGAGAATATATAAAAAACCTGTGCATTGTGATCGGCTCAACCCCACCGAACTACCGGGCACAATGCAACAGAAACCAAACAAAAATATTCAGCACAACAAAACGGTGTGAATATATAAAAAACCTGTGTATTGTGATCGGCACAACACCACCGAACTACCGGGCACAATACAACAGAAAGCAATCAAAAATATTCAACGCTTAAAAAAAAACGTGAATCCCACCAACAAACCAATCATCTCCTGAAAAAAGTGTGAAACCGACAAGAAACAAATCATTCAACACCTGAAAAAAGTGTGAATCAAACAAACAACCCGTTCAACCCTTGAAAAGAGGGCGAACCTAACTCCAACAAAACACTCTACACTAGGTAGAAGTGCAAATAAAATACAAACAAAATATTCTTTTGATGTGGTTCCTATATGAATGAAGTTCCTAACTTAATAAACCAAAATGACCTAAGTAACTTTTGAACTCTTAAACCCTAAAATTAATATATCGTTAAGAATACCTTACACTACATCAACTTACAAATGGCTATATTCTAACACACATCAATCTACATACTTCCACACACAAAAGCCAAATCCAACAAATATATCAAATTAAGATCTAAAGTTAATGACCAAATAGTGAAATTTTAATACTTAATAATATCTTTAATATGATAGCGACCAGAGGTGTTCTTTGAAAGGTCCTGCAAAAGGTAAACATTATCTGAAATCTTTTCTATAATTTTACATTTAATAAACTTAGGTGCAAGCTTTGCCGAAAAATAAGCTGGGGCATTAGACTGAACAAAACTTCTTCTCCAAACAATATCACCCACATCAAAAGAAATAGTCTTCCTTCCAACATTATAATAACGCGCATTACGTTTATACGCCTTCAACAAATGAGACTCAACTCTAGCAAAAATATCACTAATAGATTTAAGAGAAAGGGCATAAGAGTCCCTTTCACCAAACTCAAGCTGGTCTAAATCACTCAAAGAATTGCTAAAACGGTGTAGAGAAGCATCAACAATCAACTCTCTACCAAACATAAGAAAATTAGGAGTAAAATCAGTAGCCAAATTTACACTACTGTTTAAAGCCAATTGAACGTGAGGCAAAAATTTAGACCAAGAACGTTGGTCCTCTTTAACAAAACATGAAATACAAGTCTCTACTGTCTTATTGTACCTCTCCACAGGGTTATTTTGAGGTGTGTACAATGTGTTATAAAAAATTTTAGTAATGTTGTAACCCTTCATGAAATCTACAAAATGTTTAGAAGTGAATTGAGTACCATTATCACAAACTATTAATTTAGGACAACCAAATTTAAGAAATATCTCTTTTTCAAGGATTCTACAAACGGATAAGGTGGTTGCTTTTACTAATGGAAAAACCCAGCAAAATTTTGTGAAAACATCTACAACTGAAAGAATATATTTATGTCCAGAATAACTTTTAGGCAAGATTCCAATTATATCAAGCGAAAGCATGACCATAGGGCGGTCTACTTTCTTTGGGTTAACCATAATGCCAAAAGGTTGAGAAGTGCTATGCTTATAGGCTTTACAAATGTCACAAGATCTAATGTAATTTTGAACATCATTAAACATACCGTTCCAAAAATAATGTTGTTTTAATTTCTTAATAGTTTTATGAATTCCAAGATGACCAGAATTTATATCATTATGGTTTGACTTAATAGTATCCAGAATATGTTCCTTAGGAATAACAATTTTCCAATTTAATCTACTATCCGGATTGAATTTATTCTTACAAAATTTATATAATGTGTTGTCATCAACCTTGAAATTTTTATATCTAGAAGGGAACTTTTGACAATTAACGAATACCTTCCTATACCAAGGGTCTACAATCTCCTCATCGGGTGAGACAACCCGTATAGCGGAAACCAAAATTGTAGATGCCTCAATACGAGATAAAGCATCTGGAACTAAATGTAAGGAACCTTTCTTGTGAACAATTTGGAAAGTAAATTGGGAAATTCTAGCAGCCCATCTTGCTAGACGTCCACTAGGGTTGTTTAATTTTAGAAGCCATTTTAAACAAGCGTGATCAGTGATAACGGTAAATTCCATTCCTTCAATAT